GGGCAACGTTTGGAGCGCTGCAGACGGAGGAGTGGGGACTGTTCATGCACATCTGCGACGTGATCAACGCGTCGGAGGAGGGGTGAGCGGGGCAGGGGGCTGCGGACCCGGGGGGCGAGAGGCACCGGGTCCCGGTGTCAAAGGGACCGGCAGTGCCGTGACCGGCCCCCTTCCACTGTGGGGAGTGAGAAGAGCTAGTTGTCTCAGAGGTAGCACAGGGCAAAATCGATCAGGCGGGTGTGACGCGTGTAAAGTTGCCCACAACGAACTAGCAGCCGGGAGCAGGTACCTTTGGTTCCTAGGTAAGAGTTTTACCTCACACTCAGCCATCAGCACTTGTAGAGATGAGACTTGTAGGCCCTTCCCCATAGACAAGCGCTAGAGAAAGGTATTAATGTTGATTTCTAGCCCAAGTGCAACATATTTTGTATAACCTGTACTGTTTCTCAGGCAGAGTGGGACTTGGCAAAACCCAGCCTGGAACAAAACCCTGAGTATTTGATTGGCTACAGCACTATTTAAAACTCTGTGCTTTTAACTTAATCAAGAGTTTTCCACTATGCAATTTCTCAGCCAACCTACACAACAGCAGGAGTGAAACACTGGCTGGGTTTCTGTCCAGTGGAACCCGTCATATCAACACGTGTACCTGTGGTTCCTGGGACAGAGGTGACCTCTGATTGAACAGCCACATTCTAGTTTTTTCAGCCACTTGTGCTTCTTTGTTCTTGCCTGTAAAGGGGGAGAAGGAAATCAATTCTTGTGTAAGATCTGCTTCAGCATTGCATTGCAGGAACTCGCAGGTAGCAGTGGCCTATTTTAACACTGACTGGAGAGCTTTCTCCTAGAGAATTACGTGTGCCTTAGTTTCTGCACATGTATCTTCTTTTATATCAGCTTTTCCTTTCATTTTTATAAATCCCACCCTCTCACCTGTGGCTCTTAGACTAATAATCATTCTGGTCATTGCCATAAGCAACAGCATGCCTTGACACTAAGCGTTAGTTTTTACGTGGAGCTACTATGCAACAGAGCTTTTTTTAATAAAGTGTTTCCTCTTGTGCACAGCTTGTGCTTACAGAGGAACTCCTTAAAACTTCCTCCTAGGCAACTACTACAAGTCACAGTCTGTAACAGGATTCTAGGAACAGCAGAACTCTTGTATGTAATTAAGCTGATAATAATTTTAATGCAATGTCCAGCTCCTGACCAGAGCATTTCCAGGTGCCTCAGTAAGAGAAGCAAGAATCAGGAGTGGAATAGTAGTAGTACAGCTTTCTGCAAGGGAAAGTTTTCTTCTCCACTCTCATGTTCCCATCCATCCTTTGATGCTCTGCTGATATGACTGGGCATAACATAGGATTAAGAAAAATAGAGAAATCTCTGCTTTTTTTTCTGATGAAGTACAACAACATTTCAAACTGAAAAATGCAGTAATGGCAAATACACATTTAATTTCTTTGTCTTTGAAATACTTTAAAGAAATATTTCTTTTTTTTTTTCTTACTGAGACATCGTATTTATGCCTATTGCACCATCTTGGATTCTAGAGAGATCCTAAAGAGACTTTAGGACATCTTGTTTTTGTTGATCATGAGTGTTGAGCTGGCCCAGGTAATTGTACACTATAGATAGCCCATATTAATCAAGCAAAACTGTTTCCCATATGTGATCAGCTTGATACCATCTTCCGCCCTTTTCCTCCTACATAAATAGTTAAAGGATATGGGGTATAAATATAGAACTCAAGATGGCTGGGCTAGAAATGCCACTATCTCTGGGGTGGAATGGGTTGTCAATCTTTACATGGTAATTTACTCAGATGAGTTAAAAGCTTCCTGCAATTGTAAGATTGGAAGTTAGCCGAGACACCCCTACTCCTGACAGCACTCCCAGGAGAGTATTTTTTAATTGCATCCTCTATGAAATATAGGTACCAGTCAACTCTTGATACAGCTGGCAATTGTTATTCTCTTTCATAGAAACAAAAGCTAGATAAGTAAGTCTGTTGTACAACAGTGAAATAATATAATTTTGGAGGAGACTTTGCAGAGGAGAATAACTTGATTTCTCTGTACAAGTCTCTGGAGTAATGCACAGTCTGCAGTAACAAACCTGATTCACTGCTTTGTTACTCTGGCTCAGTGCTGAAATGATTTTGCTGAAATCAGTGGGGCAATTGCTCTAGTTTTATGTGGGTGTAAATACAGGGATGAATTTGGTCTCATATCTTGGGCCAGTATTTTTGGCTCTTGGATGAAGTTACAAACTAGAAAAACAGTCTTAACTTCACTGGTAACTTTTCCTGCTTAATCTCTTGTCACAGGCCTAAATACGCAGTTAAAGCACTAAAGAAAAAGCTTACCAAAAACTGCAACCATACGGAGATCAGGCTTACCCTGTCTGTAAGTACAGCTATATTTATATTAATTAGACATGAAGAAGGAAAAATTTTAAACGATAAGGTGGCATGCAAATTATCTCTGACACAACTCTCCAGGATGTTTTCTGTCTTTGTTGTTTGTGTGTATATCACTACCGCAGTGCAGATCAGATATCTACTGGTGTTCCATAGAGTCCTCAATGATGCAAATTCTTAAATTTACTGATGCATTTTTGGTTGTTTGGTTTTTTTTTTTTTTAAACCTGTACTATGTAAAAGTAGTATAGGTCTTATTTACTCTAGTGACTGTCCCACTGTGAGTGCCTTACCTGTTTGTGACAGATGCAGAGGTGGGGATATTGCGTAAAAGCTACAGCTGACCATTCTGTTACTCACCTTGTGGTCCTGATAGTTAAACTAAGCGATAGTTTAGATTACTGTGCAATACCTGTTTTGTAAAAGTAAGTGTTACATATAAATGAGAAACTTGAATGAAAGGATAACAATGGTGAGTTAAGCAAGGGAGTAAGACACAGGATAAGCTATGTAAGATTCAGATAGTATAACTAAAGGTTGGAGTGTCTGGGAGTATCCTCAGTTGAGATAAACCTGGCTTCCAGAATCTGTCAGTGTTTCTGAACTATCCCAGAGTTTGGGAAATGTTGTGATTTCAGCCCACTTAATATTTACCAGAGTATGTTAACATAGTTCTCTGTTTTCTGCTACACTGATAATATAGGGAGTAGCAGGAAGTTCCTAACACTGTCATAAGTCCAGAGTTCTCTACCTGAATTACTCTTGACTAACAATAGTATATCTGGGAGAAGAATCATTCTATTTGTATTTGAAGTAGCTGGGGATTTGTGTCTTCCATTATTTGTCTAGAAGTATTTTCTTCACAGTTTCCTTTTTTGAGGTTATAGAGGCCTGTTTGCATTATACTCTGAGTACTATTACTCATGAGTTTGGTATTTGTTGTGCAAAATCATTATCTATATTAATATGTGCTGAGAAGTGATTAAGGAAGATAGGTGATTGATAGTGTCAAATTGTAGGTCACTTAGCAATTGCCCAAATGTCTCCTGACAAGTTAGAGATGCAGATAAATGTGTTAAACGTACTGATGTATACCTTCAGCTCATTCCATTTCCGCACTTCTTTCCTGGCTTCCTCCTCCACTGTCTCATGAGTCACCTTTTTGTGTGTTCTATGTGTTTGCATAACAGAAACACTCGGTTGGTTTCCGCTGTAATTGCAATCCCTGTATCAGATCTGCGCTCTTTCTCCTACAGTCTTTGTGCGCTCAGGTCCTTTTCTGAATATCTGACGCAGTCAGCTGGAGTTAGGATAACCCAGTGCTTAGATTTAGGAGCCTTTCTTTGCATATTTACTCTGCAGATATATCCAAGGTGACGTTATAGTTTAGCTCTTAAGAACATAAAAGGGAGAGAGGTGTATCCAAGGAAGAGCATGATCATGTTGACTTGGAAGCTCATTGTATTTTCTCGTAGATGGAGTGTGTACCAGGTGTCAGTTGTGCCCAGCTTCTGTTTTCTGACTGTAGGTTTTTTCTCCCCGAGTTCCTTAATTTTTTATTTATTTTTTTTTTAAATAAGTGCTAGCCTTTCCTCTGTCTCTCTTCCTGCTTTTGTTCTTATGTAAGATCTTCCATCCATGCCTCTCCCTCTGCCCCTGGCTCCTTTCCTTTCTCTGGTTTTCTACCAGCACTGCCATCAGTGTAGCACGTGTGAAACCTTTTCTTTGATGACCTCATTGCTGACCACGTATATGACCTTTAACTACTTTGTTACCAAATCAGTTTTTCTGTGAGCTGTATCTTCTGGTTTAGGTTCTCGATTGCCTTAATGAAATTGTTCCTATTTCCCATTTTGAAATGCTTAGATTGGAACAGCAAATCATTGCAAATGGAAAAACAGAAATAATTTTCAATTCCTAAAACATAAGCCCTTCCCTCCGTGTGCAACTCTTGCCTCTTAAAAATTTTTTTTTTTCCCAAATTTCTACAAAAATAAGGGCTCTTTTTTGATGAACTGTAAGTTATTTCCTGTGTTTCTTACAAAAAATGTGGTCCTCCAGCGTTTAAGAATCTGCATCAAATTTGTTTCTCCTACCTACAATAGATACAGCTACGAAGGCAACAGATCTACAAATCACTTTTCTTTTGAAATGTACTTTAATCCACTTTTATTACTGAACTTTGAAATTATGGAATTTAATCTTTCTAATTAAACTGCTTAAGGACCTTATTCCCAGAGAATACACACAGAGTGAGATGTGAAAGTCTTCATCTGAAGTAGCACAACTGCATGTGTTAGCCCTGATTCTGTCATCGAGACCTGTTGAATCCCAGTAGTGTCTCCCTCCTGGCTCACAGACACTTATTTATTTACTTGGAGGAAGATGGGTGAGTGCCAGCTGTGTAACGTGATGGCTGTGGCTTAACTTCATGTACTGTGATCTTCTGAAGTTACCTGCTGCTTGTGGAGTCACGTGGATCAGGGTGTGTGTCTGTCAGCCCCTGGAGTTGCTTCATGCAGAGTCTTTGATAAAGCCAAGCGATCAGGCTTGGCAGTGATGATTTCACAATTGGAGGGAAGAGGATTAGAACTTTTAGGCAGGAATCTAACAATGTGTGTATGTGTTTATTTGACTCCTTATGACTAATAGACTTTGGATACGTAAACTCTGTTTACATAGTGAACACTGAGACACCTGTTCAGTTGTCTCCATAGAGGTCCCTTGATTTTGTAAATCATTGACTGTAGTGCCCCAGTTCTGAAGCCTGTGAGGTCTTAGGATCTGAACAGCACATGGGGAAGTAGTGTATTGAATGTGTCTCTCTCTGTACCTGTGTCCACACACACACTCTTACGTACAAAGCAGTGGGCAGAAATTTAAGATGGAATTAGTGTTTCATTTCTGCATTATATTGTTGGTAAATTTTAAAGGAAGTAATTTGTCAGGTTTAAATTTTGGAGTTTGTTTGGGGTTTTTTTTGCCTGAGGCTTTTTCTATTTTTCCTTCTAATATTCTGTAAGTTTTCAGATATAAAAAAAAAAAGTTAGCATGGCAAATACGGCCTTCAGATTTTCCTTTGTTCAATTAATATTTCACAAAGCAGAGGATATAAAAAACAAAAACATGAGAGACCCCTTCAGTTCCTCAATCAAAAAAGTCCTAGTCAATTTTATTACACTTTATGGTATATGTGGGCAAAGAGAAAAAGAAAAGGTTATTGAGTGGGAGCAAAAAAAATCTATATTTCAGTGCTTTTTATTTATATATATATATATACACACATATATATATATATCTCATTTGAAAAATGCAAGACTCTGGAAAAATTTGTTTTTGAAATGCAGAATCTTGGTAAAGCCTACATAGCCACTACTGTAATTGATGAGTGGCAGCTGAAAAAGCTGCTCATATAGGTTTCTTTTAAGTGCTGGCACTTGGAAATAGAGTCTTGTTCAAAACTCTACTGGGTATACATCAGAATATGTTTAGTAGAGTGTAATCCTGGAAATGGATTAATGTCTTGTTCCTTTTGAGTCAGAAATACAAAGAAGCAAACTGTTCATCTGTGTTTTCTTGCATTCACCTTAGGTCCGAGAAGTATCCATCACAAACTATATCCATTTCTTACAGCTTTATGGACCAT